ACTTATTTTTGATAATTTAATTATTGTCCCATTGATCATTTAATTTTATAATTATTATCTGTATTTTAATTCCATAACCTATATCATAAATTCCATAATTATAATCCATAACAATAAATCTGCTGTAAATTGTTTATTAAATCTAAGAACAAATGGATTTGGATCAAGAAAATTTAAATTTGATCGAAGAAGTAATTGAATTGATGGAAGAAGTAAATTATGATGATGTAGTAATAGAAGAAGAAGGATCGGAGAATGAATGTGAGAAGGATAATGAATGTGAGACAGATAATGAATTTGAGGTGGATAATGATTATAGCATGTTCTTATTAGATGAATCAGCTCCAAAGGCTGCAAAAGCTATATTTGAATCTCCAAATCTTCAATACATTCAAAGTGAAAATGAGAATGAAGATGTAGAAAGTGATGACGAATCCCATATGCTAATTGATAGTGATAATGAAGAAGATTTAGTGATTCCAAATACTTTACCTATAAAATTATCACCATGTGTTATTATTGATAATTCAAAAGGAGAGATTTCTCGATGTTGTTCAACAGAAAAATTAGTATCAATAGCACAGCTTTTTGGAACATGGGAGGTGGATGCATCTATAGGGAAGAATTCTGATTTTAAATTATATGAATATGGTGTTTGTACAAGTCATTTCAATTTTGATAATAGCAAGATTCATAACCCTAATTCTAAAAAAAAATGAAGTACTAATGAAAGTAAGATAAAAAAGAAAAAATGTCTTATGTGTGATAGATATAAATATTTTTTCAGTAGGGGTGATGATTGTGCAATACACTCTTGGAATCTTGTTGGAAGAAATATTCAAGTACCTTGTCTTGGCCTCAAATCCTGTCCTGTGTTTATTGATATTCCACATATTTCTTCTAAAGCCTTAAATAATGATTGTGTTCGATACATTTGTACAGAATGTTTTGAAGCTTATGGTGGACATTTACACAAACGTCAAGGATCAGGAAAATCAAATTCATGTATTAATGATGACTTACATAGAAATGATGTGACCTTTTCTTTAAAATTATTTGCACAATGGATTACAAAAATTTCCGAATCTGAAAATGATGATAAAAAAAGAAAAGTACTTTTGCATTTAATGCCACTATTGGAAACAACAAACTCTACTGATCAATTATTATCAAAAGCAGCAACTCCTGGTGTGTTCCTCGTAAACACTGCCATGAAATTACATGACTCCAATATTAATCTACCAATAGAAGAATTAAATGTTAATAATTGTGAAAATTTTGGAAAACAATTGGGTAATTCCATTTGGAATTCACACAAAGAACTTAAACAAAATCTTTCAATTTTAGAAAATCCAACTTCCCTAAATCAGTACTATAATTCATTCCCCAAAACCTTGATTAATTTTTTTGATGGCATGATTGGTTCTATAATACAAAAAAAGCATCAAGTTGCTGAAAGAAAACGAAAGAGTCGTGGACATTTTCCAAAAGATTTTGATCCTTCTTCAATTCAGAAAATTACTGTTTTTATTGCTTCAATGATTCTTACAGTTGCATTTCCAACATGGAAAATATGGTTAACTCATACCATGGCATCACTTTGTCGAAGACCTAAAATGATTTCAATATTGCAATCAATACTCCACACAGTAAATGTTGTCTCATATTCATGGGATCATGAAGTAAAAAAACAAAAAGAAAGAATGAAAAATGTAGATCCTCGATCAAAATTGCTCAGAACCCCTGAAACTTGGAATGTTGCAGTTATAGACAACATTGATTTTAAGGATACAACCTTTCATTATGGAAACATATATGATGTAACCAGAAATTCTGCACATGCCACACTCAGGATGGTCTTTCAATTTCAACTTCCATTTCCAGTAGCTTCATTTTTACAAATCAATCATCCACAGACTCACAGTGATGCATTATTTGGAAAATCATCTTTAATTAGTAAATGGGAAAAAAATATTGACATGATATTTCAACAGCTTATTGAAAATTATGAAGGTGGTTTTGATGTTCAGGATATTAATTCAAAAATTGCATCCAAAATTGAAATAGGCTGTCAAGTTCCACCACCAAATGTTGTCATTCTTGATGCAGAACCTGCTCCTAAAAATAATGAAAATGTCTTTAGTTCAATAAATAAGTACTTTGATGATCTTGGACAACATATAATTGACATGGCTTGTGATGAAGCAATCTTTAGAAGAACCAAATTATACCATAATGATAACATGACTGGATGTTTTATTTTAGGTGGATGGCATACATCCAAAGCTATGTGTAGTGCCTTAATCACAGCATTTAGTGGTTATGGAATTTATAATATAGCAGCTGCACTTGGTGTTCGTTTTTTAGAAACATTGGAAAAAAATGTTGATTATAGAGCAACATCTTGTGTTTTAGAATTAATTTGGGCAGCTGTTGGAATATCTATTAATCAATATGTATTAAAAAGAAATATGACAGTAGATGATATTCTTGAAGGAAATAATTATGTATTAAGAATATGGTTTTTATACTACCGTTATTTTGGATTCTGGAAATGCCATCAACTAGGTATACGTAGAGGAAATTTTGAAATGCAGATAGAGAACTTGGCTGCATTTGCTCCATTGTTCCCTATAACTGGAAAAAGCAATTATGCTCAATCAGTAGTATTTTTTCTTGAGTCAATTCACCGGAATCCTGAACAGAAAGAGTTACTTACCCATGTGAGCTCAGTTAATCTAACCAGAGAAGGACATTTTTTTTCATTTGATGAGGCATTAGAATTTTTTGGTGTAAAATTTATAAAGCAAAATATTACTGGTAAAACTACAGACCTCAAGAACTTGACACTGCAAATTAAGTCAGTTCAATCAGAACATGAACGTATGATGCTGCTTTTCTCAGAATTTGTTGAAGACAATACTGTAGTGAAAGGTAGTCATGCAGCTATGCAAAGAAAAGAAGTCCTATGGTCAATTGTAAATGAATTAGACAAGGCGTTTGATCTTCCAGATCCTAAAATGCATGATTTTTTTAAAAATGCTAAAGAAATAAATGAATCTGGTTTTATAAAATGTTTGAAAGTTATGAAATAGGAATTGAACGTTTAAATCGTATATTACATCAAGATATTTATAAAACAGAACCACAATCCAAAATTGGTAGGCGAAAAAAAAATCTACCTCATATTAAAGTAAGTGAGCAAAAGGAATATGAAAAAGAACAAAATCAAATTAACAATGATGATACAGAACAAATAAATGATGACTTACCAGCTGTAATAGAAGAGACAATATCTGCAGCAAGTAATGAAAGAGTACAAGAGGTAAGATCTCCACTTCCTAAAAGCCAAAAATATACAGAAGAAGAACAAATAATTCTTCAGGAGCTTCTTAATTACACAGATTTGCCAAAAGAAGTTTGTATGAGAATAAATGAAGAATTGGTTAAAGTAAATGGTTCATGGACTAACAAAAGAGTAAGAGACTACTGGTATTACCACGTTAAAAGAAAATCTAAAAATGCTAGAGAATCATAAATATTTAATTAATTTAAAATATTTAAATAAATTTAGTAAATAATAATGTATACCGTTTTTCGCTTTTAATTTCTTCCCCAAAAAATAAAATGCCTAATAAATATATATTTTTCAAAAGCTAATATTATACTCTACCTGTTAATGTTAAAAAGATCTCAATGAGTCTTCTCCCTGAAAAGGATGGTGGACCCGAAGGCAAAAAGTATGTGCTTTTTCAAATAATTATTTCTCTTGAACGAAAAAAGCTAATGAAGTATAAAAGATTGTGATTGAAAGAGCAAAACTATGAAAATATGTTTACATAGAAACATGAAGGATGTTTGATCATGCTTTTTCGTTCATTTTTGGTTTTAAAGTCTGTTGTACGGAAAAGTGCTATGTCGATCACTATAACAAAATCACTCATTGTGACATCACGGATGACTGTTAATGATTACGCAAAGCAAAATATTATCAATGAAAATCTTGTAATTACCCAGCAAGATCTGCTCCACGTTTTGATTCCAATTAAAATATTTATAAGCTAAAATAAAAGACACCTCATACATATCAATACAAATAAAAAGTAGTACCTCTGGTTAGTTATTAACACGTATTCTTTAAGAGACCCAAACCAAACAACAACACTCACATTTTGTCACCTTGGGCTCTGTCAAAAAATAGTTTTTCCAAAAAAAAAAAATCATCAATTCACGTCTGTCCTACCAAAAAAAAAACCAATAGGATAAATAATTAATGTGTACGCATCGATCAAATAACAAACTTCTTTTTATTTTATTTTATTAAAATGAACAACTCCAAACAAGATAGAAGAAAAAGAAGAAAAGAAACTGCTCTTAGTGAAGAAAAAGGGTAAGCGTTTTAAGGATGGTGGTGGTGGTTATCGCCCGCCACTTGTCGTTACTCTAGTTAATTATTTATGAACTGTTTTTTATTTAATTACTTTAATAATAGACAGGTGGCACCTCCTTTACCTCCTGAGCTTTTAGCTGAAATATGCAAATGCATTGAAGACGATTATAAAATACTATATTTTTGTACTCTTGTCAACAAACAATGGCACAAGATCAATATTCCAACTTTGTGGGAAAATCCATTTTATTCTTTTAACAGCATTAAAATATTAATTAATTGTTTATTGGAATACTTGACCAGCTTTGAATTAACTTTTAAACTATTGGAGAAACCACCATTATACAATTATGCTAAGTTTTCTACCAAACTTGATCTTTCCAATATTTTTCATTTTTATCAGTTGACAAAAGGTGGAGGATCAAGCATGTTACAAAATAAATTCTACGAATTTATTTTAGATCATTCAACAAATATTAAAGAATTTAATACTCACAACATAGATCTAGATTGGGTAAAAAATTATCATAGATTGGACAATTGTTTTCAGAACCTTAACAAATTAGATTGTAGATTTATTGACAATCCTGAGTTTATTGATAAATTAACAACTAATTGCAAATCTATTAAATTATTAAAAATATATACTGATACATTTACTGATACATATCACAAGGAATTCAATGATAGTCTGGCTCAGCTAGTTAATGCACAAAATC